ATTCTTGAAATATTTCTTAGATCATTTTGTTTCAGCAAAGCGTATGATCAACGGGCCATAACTAACAACTGCTATGAAGCACATAGGTACAATTATGTTAATAAACTGGAGAAAACAGCATTCAATATTATAGTCCTCTTTACCAAACGAAACGGTACTATCAAAATCATCAGATAGTGGGTTGTAAAGGAAGTACTTGTGGACACAGCGCCCAATTAAGCTGGGGAACTCATTGCCACAGAATGCCGTGAATGCCAGCCATTTAAATGGGCTGAAACAATAAGATGAATTCATGCTAGAAAAGCTCATTAAGGGCTATTAAATACACAGATGCAGATGCAACTGGGAAGTCCTTAAGCCACGTAGTGCTGGAAACTGGAAGGATGGGGGGCAGAATATAAATGCATCCAATTCTTCCAGCGGTACTCTCCCTTCTTTCCTCCCTCCCCCCCCCCCACCAAGCATCCATTACTGGTGGCTGTCGGCACGATACTGAACTAAATGGACTTTTGGTCTGATCCTGCATGGTAGTTCTTGTTCTTATCTCTAGTTCACTTGCTTCCAACTGAAGCAGTGCAGCTGTACAATCCATTCTGTTTCCCTTTTCTATAAATATAATCAGCAGTACTTTCCTTTTTCCTTGCTTGCTGAAGCTTTTGTACCTGTTCCGATGCTGTTCCTGCACGCAAGTTGGTTGGTTGTTGTTTTTCCAAGTGGAGCGTTCTACTGTGTTATTAGCAGGCTGGAGTAAAAGTGCTGCTCTATCGGTCTCATCTTACCTACTGGAAGAGTTTGCTCCCTTCACGTTTTCTACAAAGCCTCCAGTCATTCCCCCGTTCTCCCTTGTGGCACTGTGCCTAGTAAATCTTTGGCATTCTGAAATGATTGAACCAGTTGAATCCAGTGTCCTAGTGGTATTTTGCTAATTTAAGTGTAACCGTTGGTTTTCTCTCTCTCTCTCTCTCTCTCTCTCTCCTCTCTCTCTCTCTCTCTCTCCCCCCCTTCTCCCCCCCCCCCCCCCCCCCCCCCTCTCCCCCCCCCCCCCCCCTTCCCCCTTCCCCCCCCCCGCCCCAGCTCAATCCCTTTTCTTCAAGGGCCGGTAGATGCGACCAGTTCAGCTTCATTAAACAGCAATTCAGTTATGAATGAACCTCAAATTAGTTGATTGTGACCATAAGGCAGCTTCAGGAGCTCCTGGCTTCCTCCCTTCCCAGAGGGGCATTGGAGGTAGCTGAGCTCCTACTAACTGGGAACTGAAGTATGGCAGAGATGACAAGTTTCATAACGTACCTTGGCGTGAGCAACAGAATCAGTGTTTTAAAGCTTTCTGTGGCCCTTTGATAGCAAGTGACTCTCTTGGACAGGTAGAAAAGGGGTCTTTTCTATGAAACAGGCTCTCCTCTCTTTATAACAAACTCCGTCAGAGTAGATTGTTTCCTGTTTGGCATGGGTGGGAAATATTCAGCTGCAGAGAGCTCTAAAATATTGACGCCAACTGAGCAAATTCAGCTATTTCAGCTGTTTGTGTCCCAAATTTCTTCTGTCCAAGCAGTCTTTAATCCTCAGCTAAGACACGGTCTTCAAATTTCTAACTTAGGCTGTCTTTTGACACTTAGCTTTTAAAGTGGGTAGTGTTGTGTGTGTGATTTGGTTTATGGGAGGCGTGTTTGTGTGTTAAGAGCAGGGAGTTGGTGGAAAGTGTGAAGGGAACAGCTCAAGTAACTGAAGAGGTCCTTCTCAGCCTCTCGAAACTCGGATTCCTCAAGCAGAAGAGAGGCCTGGGAAACCAGTCCAGGAAGAAGGTGAACTGTTCCAGTGTGTGGAAAATGAAGTTACTAGAAGTAGACTCAGTAACCTTCATTATAACTGGCACCGCTTACCACGATAAAATCCATCCCATCTTTCTGAAAGCTTCTGCTATAATTTCAGTAGTAGGAGAGGGCTTTTAATAACACACCACTGTTCTCAGCGCGGTGATTGTGAATCATCGTGTCACTGTCGGCTTTATTTTGGTGTGCTCCTTTGGTTTGACCAACTTGAATACTGGTAGCTTTATCCTCAGTGTGCTTGTGTGTCTAAAACGGGATTATTTCCCATGCCCACAAACTGAAACATGCCTTTCCTGATGGAGTTTCTAGCCTTGCAGCCCATTGCAGTGACCTACCATAGCATTGCCCATTCTTCACAGCTGCTTGCTTTTCCTTCTCAGGAAATGTGACCTTGTTCGTCCTGATCTCTCCTCTCGTGCAGGTTCTCTTCAAAGTGGTTAGCTGGAATAAGGTTGGCCTTTCTTATATAGGTATGCCACTTCCCACAGATATAACTGTAAAGGGCTGGTAACTCCTTTCAGATCCTTCACAGAAAGGGAAACTGCTCATTTCAGCAAGGTCAGTGAGGGATGGTGACCCTGGCTGAGCTCTGCTGGCCAATCCTCCCACAAATCCTACCTGGCATGGAAGTGCTCAGTCTTGCAGCACGGAAGCGAGTGGAACAAAGGACTTCCAAAAGTCTTTGCTTCAGTTCATATGCTTCTTTTGCTTGGCTCCTTACCAAAGGACTTAAACTAGTGTAGGAGCCATTTTTCTCTTAAATAACTGCACCATGCTGGATTGCTGCCACCACAAACCTCTTTCCCCTGCTTTTTTTGCGTGTGGAAGTCTGACTCTTGCAATGAGCTCAGGCACAGCAAAAGCGTCTTTGAGCCCTGTTGGGTTCAAGTTAGGAGCTACCTAACAAAGGCTCTTTTCCTGCCATTCTCTCGCTTACTAGGCATAGCAGCTGTATGACTATTTGGGTGGAGAAGGAAGGAGATTGCAACAGCCATTAAGGGGAAAAAAAAGACGACTTGTCTTTTTTTCACTTTTTCAAGTGCAGCCATAAAACTTTCCTTGGACTTTGAAAACTGAACTCTGCCATGTGATGGGTGTGAGTTGTGGAGTACGTCAGCCTTTGAAGTTGGTGCTTTAAATAACCAATTTCTAATGGCATCCAGCTTGAAGGTTTTGCAGCACTTTTCCTGAAGCTGGAATAAGCTGCCTATTCTGACAGTGCATTTTGGACATTAAGATTCGGTAGATTTGGTTACAAGTACCACACCTCTGTGTATCTCCTAGCCATCAGACTATGTTCACCTCATGACAGTAAATCTGAATCTCCAGAAATAGAGCTGTAGTAGAAGACTCTTACTGAAACCAGGTTTGTATTTCCCCACAAGACCTAACTTTTGGTTTTTAAAAAAAAAAAAAAAAAAACTGTGCCAGCTGTGACTGAGGACTGCAGGGTTCACATGATTGCAACCACATGTAACTGAACCTGTGCTGAGAACCAAGAACGGCTGAAGAGCTGAGATCTGTATTTGGTTCATTTATTTACAGGCAAAATGTTCTGCTGACCACACGGGAGAAGGCAGCTAAGCGCCCAAAGCATTTGCTTTCTCATCCATAGTGTTTTAAGTGCTTAATGGCTGCTTGGTACGATGCAGCACTTCATAGTTCTTAATCTATAGACATTACTGTTCTGCAGAGGGACGTTGTTCCCATTTTTAGTGCTGGACATGGGGATAAAACTGTTTGCGCTAGGATTTTAGTTAATAGGTAGAGCTGCATATGCCTTTTTTTTTTATTGTAATGTAAGATGATTTGAACAGGCACAGTGGGTTTGAAGCCTGTTGTGCTGCCCTAGCAAAGACGTGTTTACCTCTTAGATATTTGCATTGCCTACATTCAGGTATTTGCTACCCTTAATGCCTGGTCCTCCATTGAGAAGCCTTGTTACCTGCTTGCACAACACTATATCCCTGGAGAAGCTAAAAGCAGAGATGAGGATGGAATCAGTTTTTTGTTGCTTTGCTGGTGCCCTATTATTAACTTACCGGTGGTGAAGTTTCTGGTATATGCATGGTGGGAGAGAAATGCAATCCAGAAAAGGGAAAAACTCGCTTGCTTTTTCAACAATACTTAGTTGCGTTCCAGAGTTTACATAGCTCTCTTGTGTAAAAGTCTTTCCTGTATCCATTGTCTTAATGCAATGCTTTTCCTAATCATTTTTTGTCATCTCCAAGCTTCTGGAAAAGTGAGCGTTTCCCAGGGTGTAGGTGGTAGGGAGGGAAGTTTGCACACTGCTGCCTAGTCTCTCATAGCAATGTTATGTTAATCTAGTTAATCAAGAGCAGTGACTCATAGAAAAAGAAGATTGGCTGATCCAAGTGGTTATTTATCATTTCTACGCTATACAGGACTGTTTCCTGCTGTAGAAAATAGCCTAAGGCACTCTATTGCTAGGGAATAGATCTTCATGTTTATTGTAACTTTTTCCTTTCCATAACTTAAAGGTGAAATGTTTATAAACCCTCTCACTCCTTAACACTACACTGTTGTAATTCACCATGTAATTCTGGATAGTTCCGAGTTTGTAGTGGTAGAGTCCAGCTCTGTCTCTCCAAAAGCAGTGTTCCCCTTTGGTTCAGAGCAAAAAGGGAACCCACCCATCTCTTGGATTGTCCTGAAGGTAGCCTTCTCATTGCATGCTGCTCCCAAGCCTTGTCCCTGAACCTCACCCAGCAACTGAAATAGTTTACTCCAACTTGGAGTGTGAAGAAGCTATCTGATCGTGAGTAAAGGCACGGGCCTGGGTTTTATCTGCTTTTATGATCTTTGTCGCTGTTTGTCCTGTCCAACTCAAACTGACATTTATTTGGCTGCTGAAATAAAGCTAGATACTTAAAAGGATGAAATATGTGCCACTGTTCTTCAGTCAAAATTAACGCACTCCTGGCTTCTGTTGCATTGCAGTGGTTGAATGTGCCTCTTTTTTCAGAGGTGAAACAGCAAGCTCAAGACGCTTCTGATGTGAGTGGTGCCTGCTGCATCCTTCCTCTTTCTATTCTTGAAAAGAAGGTGCTGTGTTTGCTATAGGTGTACTTACCTATACTCACCCTCAGGCTTTAATCTTTATGGCTTTTTCCTTTTTTTTTTTTTTTTTTTTTTCCCCCCCCCCCATAGGATGATGAGAGTCTGAAATACTTAACTCATGAAGAGAAGGACGTTCTCATGTTCTTTGAAGAAACCATAGATGCCTTAGATGATGACTTGGAGGAACCAGTCCTACCTGACAGTGGCATCCACTCTCAATCTCCAAGGTCAACAGAAGAAAATGCTTCCAGTCATTCAGAGACGGAAGATATCATTGACTTAGTGCAGTCTACACCTGACAGTAGTGACCATGAAGGCCCTCCTACCAGAGATGCAGAACCAGGTAGTAGCACTCTTTGAAAGTGAGGCTTTCCCTGTGACTTAGCCCTGGCATATTCCAGTTCTCATCAGAACCAGCTAAAGAAATTCTGTGCCTCCTTTACTACCTTACTACTAGGACTCTGTTACGTACTAAGAGCTCTAAGGAGCGTGATTTAATTTAACATTGGGATTGAGGGGTTGCTGAATTGCTTCCTGTTACTGTAACACTGTACACAATTTTTCACCTGGGGGTCGTGCATGTGGTTAAGTTGCTGGGTTGCTCTCTCCAGTGACTGAGTTGTATAATACTCAGTTCTGTTACGAAGTCATCACAGCAAGGCAGACTTGTGTTCGTCTGTGTATTCATGCTCTGGTTTTTAAAGACATCTTAAGACGTTCTCTAAGGGCTTTAAGATGGTGAATTGTTTGTAGTGATACTTTGTGTGGGACTTAAAGGCATGTGGGCCTATCCAAAAAAGTCTATATGACAAGAAAAGGATGTACAAGATGGTGCTCTCCTCACTGTAGAATTGGCTTTCTCTGCTTTTGGAGAGGGGATTTTTCAGTTAGTGCATACTCTGTTAGATAGTGCAGCAGCTCCTGGCTGTTGTAATCAAAAACAATAATGTAAAAAACTGTCATAGAAGAAGCCATTGAAACACAAGTGATGCCAACACGCAAATTGTGGATTAATGGCAAAAGGATTCCAGCAAATCCATTGCAAACGTGGGGAATTTGAACTATAGCATCTCCTCCAAGATGACGTCGCTGGTAGCTGAGATAGTTTCTTCTGGCAACGTGGGCTGAGTTTGAGTAGAAAGTTTTGGGGGAGGAGAGCATTGGAGGTTGCTAATCCTAGTGAAAGAAAGCCTAGTATTCTTTTCTGTGTGAGGACTTAATGAGATTATTGCTATTTTTTCCTTCAAGTGTTGGATGCTGCCTGGAGAACTGATAGTCCTAAGCCAGCTGTACCTGCTGACCTTCCCTCGCATCCCCCTGTACCACCACCACTGCTGACACGTGAGATGCTTCCTCCTCCTCCTCCTCCTCCTCTTCCCCCTCCAGTGCAGCACCCAAAGCTGCTTCGCTCCATCCCCACTCCGCTCATTATGGCCCAGAAGATGTCTGAGCAGCAGATGGAAAGCAGGGTGCGCTTCCCCAGTGCCCTCAAGGAAGGGAATTCTGAAAGGAAGAAAAGCCCAGTACCCAACGGGGATTATCTTGCCCCTCCTAAGCATCCTCCGCCACCGGTACCCAAACTGCACCGGTTTCCAAGCAACATTAACATAACCAACGTTAGCGGTAAAGAATTCAACGAGACTATCTCAAAGGCAGCAGTTAATGTACAGGAGCGGAGAGCTCAGGTGCTGGCCAACATCAGTGGAGGAGCCCTTCTGGCAGCGGAACTGGAGGAGAAGCTGCAGAAAAACGATTTGTTAGGACGCAACAGGAGTTCTTCCTTACGGGATCTCTCCTCTGAACAGACACGATATGAGGCCCTGACAAAACTTGGTCTGGTGAAAGGAAGGCCAGCTCCGGACCAAGTGGATCATGCTCCACGCACTCAGCAGCTTGATGATGTGCAGCCCAAACAGGCAGACACTGTTCCCAATGGATATCAAAACATCCATGAGATTTTAAGAAGTGAGCCCAACCCTTTCCTTCCCCTGGGCAAAACTGTAACAATCAAACCAGAGGTGACTCTTGCTGCTAGCAAGGTCACTCAGCAGAACACAGCAAAAAGTTTTAATGTTCATAACCAAGCTAATCTAAACCTGGATATGAGGAGGAGGTCAGGTTCGCTGCCTCGCCCTTCAGGATTTCGACCCCAAGGGATAACGGTAAGGTTTTCTGGACGTGGCTCAACAGAAGAAGCTAGGAGAGAGGCACTTCGGAAACTGGGACTACTGAAAGAGACTGCGTAACCCATACGGGAATGCTGCAGAAGTGGATGGCAAGTCATAGCTTGGCTTTCTGCTAGAACAGCCCCAACAGGATTGGGATTAAATGGACTGGAAGAAGTAGGGGAGAGCTCTCTGCTTCAGGCAAGCTAAGGAGATACTAGACACTGGAGCATGACAGCTAGTGTTTAACCCAGCAAAACTGGCCCATGTAAAGTCATGTACAGTGGTGGATTTCAACCCTCCTTGCTACCACGATACTCATTTGTTGTTCTTTGTGACTATGAAGATTTTTATTTAAGTAATGCTGGACTATAGCAGCGGGCATCCTGTTAATGAAGTGTACAGTGCAGTATTGTTGTACATAGCAAATGGAATGGAGAATCTTCCTTTTGCTCTACCTTTCTCAAGCCAAAAATGAGAGCTCGAGTTGCCTTGTGCGCATGTGTGTGTCTGTTCATGAGAGCTTGAGATGTCAAAACTGAAAATTTTGACCAGTATGACCAACTTCTGTGACTGTTTGTCTTATCTATATTATCTGGCTTTGCTTCCTTCCCTATCTGTGGTGGGATCTTCTGTTTCCTTGCTCTGTGTCCCCTCGACTAAAGACTGTACAGAGGGTGGTTTCCATTTTGACCTTCTCTTTGACAGAAGGGCCCAAGCTTGGAGTTGGCAACTACATCATTCTGCTGCTTAGCTTAAAGTCTGCCTTTCCTGCTGGCCACCTGCTTCATGGTCATGCTCTAGCAACCTGCTTGCCTGATGAAAGGCACCAGATAGACCTGAAGGATATGCGCAGTGCGTCGCTTTTAGCACTGACAGCCAAAGTGTCTCTTGACAATCTGTAACCCCAACTGTTCTGTACTGGTGACGGTGTTACTAGCAGAGAAGCCATAGGAACAAGTCAACTTTGTACCAAATGAGACAACCTTATGTCGAAAGTCTTAACTTTGACGTTAGGGTTCACAAGAAGAGACTGTTACTTTTCAAACAACAGCTGTACCTCACTGAACGGCTGTGATTAAGTTCTGTTATTTCTAATAACTGTCTCATGATCTTCCCTGTAGCTTGAAAGCCCTCACAATCCTCTGTTTGGAGACAGCCTTATTTGACTGTGCCCTGCCAATACATGACAGAAGTTAGCCAAAACTCTTGCAGGCTAAGTGGAGTTGCAGAACAGGTCTGTGTGTAAGAGCACATAGTTCCCGAATGGTCCAAGATGGCACATGTTGCCTTTATGCAATGGATGTGCTTTTAAAGATGGTCCCAAAAAAATACTTACATGTTAGTTGGTATGATTTTTTTTTTTGTATAGGGCAAAGCTGCTCTTCCAGAAGAAAACTCCTTTCCCTTCTTGCTCATCCCCAAACCTCACACATAGCCATTTTAAAAACAAAATGCCAAAATCGACGCCCTCCAAAATCCCTCTTGTTACTCCTGCATGTGTGGTGGTCCTCAAACTTTTTGCTAAAGGGGAAAACTTGCTTGTTCTCTGCACTTTCTAGGGCCTCAAGCAACCCCCTCTTTTTTTCCTTGGTAGCTGAGTAATAAGCCTTGGACAAGGGGAGGGGAGTGGCTGTACAGAAACCAACACACCCTTCATACAGGAGCTCTGACATAACTGTGATAAACAACGTTGTATTTCCTGTGATAAAGTATTTCAGACTTGCTGAGCTGTACTTGTAAATTAAGCTGTTGTGAAGGAAAATCTTTCCATAATTGTCAGCCTGCCTCAGAAGTTAAAGTATTTTTTTTTTTAATTATCTGCTTGCTGCTTAAATTTTTAATTGCATTGTTATGGTATCTGGCTCATTCTGTTACGTAGTTTTTCTTGTCAGCCTTTTCATGGGCGGGGGGGAGCGATCCTGTTCCTCATCGTGGCAGGCGTACTGTACAAAGCAGTCGGTAATTAAAAAATGTGACCGTTCCTCAGTTGGGCAGAGCACTTAAGCATGCATAATCAAGTGTGCAAAGTCCAAGTGAAGCAGAAAAGGCTGTTTCAGCACAGTAAGTAAAGCACATACTTTGCTGGAACCTGCATCTGTAGTCTTAAACCAGAAAGATGAAGAAGCACAGAAATCCAAGGACCCGCAGCAACGCTACGTGCAGTGGAGTTCCACGTGTGGCTAATACGGTGCTGCTGTGTCGTAATTTAGAAAAGTCTTCAGAGTAAATTTAAATATTCCATGGATTCCTGTGCTTTTAAATCCCATTAAAGATAATTTTACGTTATGAATGTGAAGTGTGTACAAAGCAATCTTCACATCTAATCGTTTCTTGCCAGTAACAAGCTCTTCTCGCATGGTGTTTACAGTTGAGAGTCCATGCTTAAACTCTGGCATTGCTTGTTTCATCGAAGTTCAGCCCTACTCAACAGCTGTGTAACATAACACTATTTAAAAAAAAAAAAAATTAGATGTTCAATAGCTAAAGTATAAAGTTGCAGTATGCTGCATTAGCTGGATTGTGTTCTTTCATCCTTTGTGTAGGGCTGTGTCCTCCACTGGTGGGAAGGGAGAGCTTTGGCTTCATTAAATACATCAATTTCTGCCCAGGGAGGAGTTGGAACAAGGTATTTGTTGTGGCTCTTTGCAATAGCAAACATGTTCTTGGTAAAACCTTCACTGTGCCTGAAACTGTAGAAAGTAAAGCCATGTACTATATGAAGTTAGGAGTCTAGCTGCTAATAATATATATATATATATTAAACATAAAAATTTAGCTCTATTTTGTGTATATTATTTTGTGTGTATATG